CACCGTACATTTTTCTACAGAAGTAAGTGGTTTTGCAGTGTGTGATGTTGATGGGGCAGAGGAAGATGAAACAGAATATTGTCAGGGTCTTCCAAGAACACTGTTGTCCGTACGGGAATACAAACAAGGTCACATCATTGACTTTCCTGTCCAACCCATTACCCTGAGAAGACTGAAATCTGAGCACTGGCTTTGTTTTCAGCTTATCTTGTTCAGAGGGGAAAAGGGTCAAAGGGAGTAGTGCTGCTCGCACCAAAGGGGACAAGGACCTTGGCACGCGAGGTCCACAGCCAGGGTCTCCCCCTGAGGAGCAGACCCAGGGGCCCTCAGCTCTGGCATCCTTGCAAGGTGGACGATGGAAGGATTCACTAATGGAGCATGCCATGCAAAGGCAACCTTTGGACAAGGGACTCAGGAAATCTCGAAGCAAGGGTGGTAGAATCTCAAAAATACAAAGTACCAGGCTGCATGTCCTTTATCGCACTGAGGAGTTGTAACCCAGAGTTCACAGGAGGCCCTGCAAGGGAATAAGGTAAATAAATCGATGTTACTTAGAAAAATGAGAAGACCATTTGTAATAGGTGGCTAATTTCAGCATTAATTACTCCTTGGTAATTACCGAATGATTGCTGATTCTGTTTTCTTACATGATATATGAAGTCCAAAAAGGCACATTAAAGGAGAGAATAAACATTCAAGAGCTAGAATTTAAAAGAAATTTAAAAAGGGGTGGGGAGGAGGGGAAGGGGCAGCTTAGAGAATGCAGAGGGAAAACAAGGGAAGCGTCTATGGTTACAGCCAAAGCGTCCAGCCCTCAGCGACTTCCTGTTATCCATCAAAAGGTACATTTGTTAACTAAAACTTAGATGAAAACATTTAAAAACAGAAGAGTCTTTCAGAAAGGTTTGAGGTTTTAATGGATTGGGGTTAGATGATTAAAATTGCATTAAACTTTGCAATATACATTATTAATATTATTTGTATAATTTTAGCTTTTCTTACCTTTTATACATCTGTATCCCTGGTCTATATAGTGAAATATAAGTTAGAACTCTGGCCTGGATTTTGAGTAGATTTTTGGTGCTAATTAATGAGCATTTTTCAGGAACGTCAGAGGAGAATCATACATCTCCCCATCCCATCCTCAACCTTCCCTGACCACAGAAACATGGACAAATCATTAGGAGCATCCTCCTGGAGGAAGAGCTCTGAGTATCCCATACCTGTCCTTTCCCAAAACAGGGAGAGGCAGTGTCTTCAGTGGTCAAGAGCAAAGGTATTGGAATCAGATGAACCTGGATTTGAATTGATCTGGGACAAATCACTGACCTCTCTGTGTTCTGTTTCCTCTCCATACAATGAGCACCCAAGTTGGGCTCTTGTGATGCCCGAGTACTCAGGGGCAAGGTGACTCACTGTGGGACCTCAGCGAATGTCCCTGCCTTACAAATGGCTCCCACAGAGCCATGCTCCCAGCTCTGAGAATACCACTCCAGCCAAGACAGGCACCAGCTTTATGTAACATTTTGTGGAACTAATATTCCGGGGAAAGAGAACATAGTAAACAAGTAAGTCAGAATTCAGCACTGGATTACTCATCTGAAGAAAGTGAAGTTGGGGTGAAGTAAGACGAAGCAAGTTCAGACAGCTGAACCCTGAGTGATAAACAAGAACCAGCCAAGGAGAAACTGGATAAAAAGTGTGCCAGGCAGAGGGCACAGCAAGTGCAAAAGCCTGAGCGGGGAATGACCTTGGCATGTGAGAGGAAGAGAAAGGCCAAGGTGCTGAAACAATGAGAACAATGGTTAGAAAAGAAAAGGGGGTGAGGTCATTCAGGAAGGTGCTGGGGGCAACTGAAGGAGAGTCTAGGAGGTCAGGGTAAGAATTGTAGATTTTATTCTAACTCTAAATAGAATCTGTTTTGGATCGTAAGCAGGGGCATGATGGTCTGCTTTATACTTTCAGCCAATCCCTCTGGCTGCTGCAAGGAGCCTAGATGATGAGGAGGGGGGTTTGTTGGGAGGCTGTTGCTATACTTGGGGGAGAGATAGTGGAGCCTGGAGTGGGCTGGGAGCAGTAGAGATAGGGGAGTGGATTTTAAATATATTTTAGAGATAAGGCCAGAAGAACATGGCGGTGCACCAGCTATGTGGTGGGGGAGGCAATGATGGCTATCAAGGATAGTTCTTAGGTTCGGGGCCTAAGTCGGGGAGTGGCGCCATTTGCAGAGATGGGAAAGATGAATGGGGAAGGAATGAGTTGGGTGAGGGAGATCAGGAGTTGGCTTTCGACGAGTTCAGTCTGAGAATCCTGTTAGTCATCCTGTGGAGGTGTCAGGTGTACAGTTGGCTATGGGTCTGTGGCTCTGGGGAGAAGCCAGCTTTTTGTATTTTCAGAACTTTGACTGTGATATGCAAGACCAACTGAGGATGATCTCAGCTCAATCTCTGTCCAAATGTGTGGTGGTTTTTCCTTTCTACTCCCCTCTATGTTAATGACCTGCCTCCCCCATCCTCCTCCCTGCGTTCATTCCCTTTCTTCTCTTGGCCCTGTTTGAGAAAACCCAAATCAGGCAATTTTACTGTTGGCTTTGAGCTTTAGAAAGAAAATATAGACAACCAAGAAGAGCTCCTCTTAAAAGATATTGTCTTTACTGCACATTGGGCACAGGAGCCCCAAATGGAAATTGTTCTACACTGAGAACCGCTCACCCCTGTACCCTGACATCCCAGAACCATTGAGCTCTCTCCTCCTCTTATCGATATGGCAACACCAGTCTTAGCTTGTCCTCTTTGTCATGTTTGTCTTTCTAAGACCTTTCTCCCCGGAGCCCAAGCTTTGCCTACTAGAGAGGAGATGAAATGCTTTCTTTCTTGTTCAAACACTGATTGCAGCCACCGGGCATGGGGAGATCACTCTGGATGCCCCCTTTCATCCAGCGACCTTCTTTAAAACTTGTCTTTCCCACCATGCCTCCAAGAGGGGCCACCTGGAAGTCTTGTGAGAGCAGTGTCCTAATGGATCTCCCTGGCTGTGGTGCCTGACCCCTGAGGAACATCCAGGGTGCACACGAGCCCCACTCCAGGGCTGCATACTCAAACAGGCATGTGGAGCCTGCTCCTTTGGGGCCCTGCTTCCGCTCGGATGGGTGAGGCTCTGGTCCTGGCCGGGAGGGTGGGGGTGGACAGGAGTGACAGTGCATGTTAATTAGCACTGTAGAGAACTGTCATCAGGAAACCAGAAGCCACATGGTCCCAACCTGGTTTGGAGTTGGCATACCAAATTCAAACCAGCTGGCCTTTGTTTGGAAATGCCCTGGGAGGGTCCCGGTCCTTTCTGGACAATGGAAAGAATGGCATTTCCTTACCCTGAGCCCTGTTCTAGACACTAAGGGATTCTATAAACACTGTGGCCGGTGCTGTGACAGATCTGGCTTCAGAGCGTGTATACCCTCTCTGATTTGTTGGCAATAGGATCTGGCATGAGACTAGTTATCAGGGTCCTTATTGAAAGGCATGGGGAGGAAACATAACTGTTCATCCTGCTTAAAATTCTTTCGTGAATATCTGCCTGTAGGATCAAGTCTAAGCTCCTTCCCGAGGCCCTATGACCATAGCCCTGCCTGTTTCCTCTGACCTGTTAGTACCCTGCTCGTGCCCTCTTCCTCCCAGCTCTTTATCCCCTCCATTCTGAGCTATTTTCAGTTCCTAGAAAGGACCTGACCCTGACCTTGGACCTTTATTTACATTCCTTGCTTTTCTGGACACACTCTTTAAGCCCTCTTCCTCTAGCTAACTGGTCCTCATCCTTCAGGGTTCAGGGGTGCTGACTCTTTCTTGGGGTAGCGAAGTCATCGGCTGGCCCTGCTGTGTGCTCTAGGGTAATGTTGATTGTTCTATTTTGTAGTTGTTCACTCAGACCTTCCAGGCTCTAGGAGGCAGGGGTCCTGCTCACCTTGTTAATCTCCGCTTCTCCAGTGTTAGGCACCAAGGAAGCCTTCCATCAATGTTTGAATGAAGGATACCCTCCTGGGGATCCAGACCTCTGCCCAGTTCATCCTCTCGAACATCTCTGCACCCACAGCTAACCCAACAGGACCCCAAGCTGAAGAGGAATGCAGCTGTGCCCTGAACACGAGATCAAAATGGCATCCCCATTCACAAGATAATAGCGTGATTAGAATTTGTTCTGTTCCTTAGAAACCATGTCTACCCAGCATATTCAAGAGACAGGTCTGGTGACCACATGAGGACATGAGCTAGCATTTCAGCTTCACACACACAAAGGACCAAATTTTATAAAAGCAAAAAGAACAGCTTAAGAAACTCATAAGCCTGGTTCACCTTCTGTATTTGCTGCTTGGTACCTATGAGAACATGGGTGAAACACATATTCTCAGCCTGTCTCAGTCATCTTCTCTTTAAAGTGGATATAGTTATCCCCACTTCCTCACGTTGTCAAGAATATGTGAGACGAAGCTTATCAAGTGTTCAGCAAATTCCGTGTCCTTTAGTGAGCACTCAAAACTTAATCATAACTATTGTTGTTATAGTAATAAAAATGGGATAGACTTTCAATTTTGTGGTTTATAGTTTTCCCATTGGAAATAAACCCACGAAAGTGACAAATAAAAGGTTATAAAACGGCATGTAGAGAGGACTCCCAATTCTGTCAGGAAGGTGTATGTGTGTATGTATGTACGTATATCTGGTAGGACATTCTCTAAAGGGTTAACAGGGGCTTCGTCTGGGAGGTGGGTTTATGTCTGATCTTATTTTATTCCTTCCTTTTGTTTGACTATTTTTTCTAACATGAGCACATTACGCATGAAGTGGGTGATTGTAGAAAGGCGATGATACTCTTTAAAATGGAAAAGAAAAGAAAGAAATTAGCTGGAGGCCAAGAAGGCTTGGCATGTGCATGCCCCCCACCCCGACTCCACCCTCACCCCCCATTGCAGATCTTCCCATCTGTTACTAAACTGGGTTCTCCCTTGGCAGGATTTTTCACCCAGATCTCCACTTTGGCTGATGTGCAGGAAAATGTCATGGAATACCTCCACGTGCTCAGCCGGCCCAAAGTGATTGACCAGGAGCATGACGTCGTGTGGACCGAAGCTTACATCGACAGCACTGTGAGTTCACGGGGCCCATGGGGGAGAGCCTGAGGGCCCATCCTGAGATGGGAGAGTTTTCCTGTGGTGATTCCAGAAGACAGCAATTGTATCCCTCTTCCTCAATAATGGGCTTAATGACATTTTCCCTTGTTGTAGAGTCTGCACTGGTCCCCTTGGCAAATAAGGTTGGTGAAAAATCCTAATGGAGACTGTTGCCAGCACTTCTGGAAGGTGTCTGGTCAGGACAGAAAACTCTCTTTTTGATTGTATCTTCTCTAGTTACCTGTTTTTTCCTTCCCACATGTGCCCAAATTCTGTCACTATAGCAATGATTATAAGCATGTTAGATTCAGTCTTCGCCATCTGAGAGACCCAGTCCTGGGGATGAGTCTTTGGGTCTCAGCTTGGGAAGGTGATCGAAGCTCAGCTATAACTCGAATCACAGCCACAATAGAGACCACAGCTGTGTTTTCTTCCCATAGACCAGTGAGAATATGGTGGTCATATAGGCACTGCACTGTTGTTAGAACGCGGGACCGTGGCTCATTCTAAAGCTGAATTCCAAGCAAGAGTCTGATGCTGAATTAGTTTGAAAAGAGGAGCTTTGCCAGTCATCAAACAATGGCTCAGTGAATGGCCTGGTTTCTTGTGTATTTTCAGGGTGATTTTTCATAGTGATAATGAGTCTGATGGGAGTGGCGTTTTTCATTAATTGATTTTAAATGTTCCCACAGGGCCTCTCTCCCATCGTTTTTGTTGGGATTAACATCACATTAATCACTGTAACCCAGACATAGCTGCTCTCCAGAGTGATCTCAATGGCTGCTGTGGGCCAGCTTTTCTCTCCATGAGCTCTCTCATTCTTGCTGCATTTCTGGCAGCTCCAGGAAAATGCAGGGCAGGAACAGCATAGGGGAACCCATCTTGGGGGGGCACCAAGCAGCCTGCCCCTCCTCGGCCTTCAGGTACACAGTGGAACCATGGGAATAGGAACTGGACAAGAAGGGGTGCCCCTGCACCAGGAGGAATCTGGAGGGAAATTTTGAGCAGAGCATTTTCATGGTCTCAAAGAGCTTTCCCAGAGATTTTTGACAAGTTGTAAGCGGGGTAAAATAGTATATATATAGTGGGGTTGATCCAAACAAAATCTTGAGTGAGTCATCAAAAAATTCAGTGTCACCAATGAAAAGAAAATGGACATGGCATGCTTTCAGAAAAGGACATATCACATAATAGAGTGTTCTGGCTGGGTGTATGCAACCAGAGGTCATGGTGAGAAAGAGAGTAAAGCTTTGTATTAATATCATGTCTGGCTTGAAATGGTGTTAATCACGTAAATCAATTGTTTTAGATTTGCATATTATATACATACATATTTATATTTATGTTTATGTGTGGAGGGCAGTTAAGAGGGAGGGAGAACCCACTGCTACTCTAGCTTTTCCACACAAGAACTCCTGACAAGAAAGGAAAGTAAGTAGTCTGGGAGCAGCCCTAGATGAGCAGTTGCAATGGAAATGTCTTTGAAGTCTTGTGCTTTCTCTTAAATATTTACATGAAATCTTCATTCTGTGCCATAATCACCCTTACATACCTCAAAATAATGTTTTAAATGGCTCATTATTGAGTAAAATGGTATGTCAAGATAACAGCTCATTTATTCCACTTCATCAAGAAACCTTTGACATACATATAACTAACCCCTGCCTGCCCCCCGAATATGCCTGTCCCTGAAATGATAGCTCAGCATCGCCTCCGTGCTTTCCTAGCTTCTCTTGCATCTTCGCAAATAGCCCTGATGAATGAATAAATCCCCTAGGAGAATGTTTGGAGGGCTCCTTCTCATCTTAGTGGTATTGAGAAACGTGGTGGGCCAGTGAGGACTCTGGAGAGCCTCTTTTCCTCTTTTGTAGGCCTATTCAGGAGGAGAAGGCACCTGCTGCTCTCATAGGTGCTTCTTGGGCCAGGAAGCAGCAGTCTCTTCAAACTCCTTATCTAGGCCTGGACAAGGACCAAAACAAACCAAGCCAAAACAAAACAAAACAAAAACAAAGAAAACCCCTGTCATTTAGGGGCTATCAAGTAGGATTTGTATGCCAAACTCTTCTGCAGAGTCTAAATTCTAAGATGAACCCACCAAATGTGGAACCACCCAGAAGATAATGGGGTTGGGGGGTGGGGTGGAGGTCAGCCATAGCAAGCTCATGACTGTCTTGACACCTCGAGAACTGTCCCAACCGAGATTGTAATGATGAAAGACCAAACTCAGGAGCACTTAGCATGGGGAGCTGGGTCTCAAAGAAACTTTGTGGTAACTGAGATTGCTTATACCATTTTGATAATAGATCTGGGACTTAAGAATGATGAGTATCTTGAAAGCACTGTTCCTCTAAAGATATACTTTAGTCCTTTGGAATTACTTTTGCTGCAGTTATGTGTCGTGGGCCGGGCACTGGTGTCTGGTGTTGGTGCCTAGGGTCCGTGTTCCTAAGGAAGACTGCTTGTTGTGCTGCAGGCATCAGCCAGGGAGAGTCCCTCCCAGCCTTACTGAGGTAAAACAGGGCTCATGCACAAGAAAAGGGAGACACAGTAGTAGCCCTCTTAAGTGACTGCACTTAATGGACTCAGTGCTCTCTCTTTGCTCTGGAACAGCACACTGGGCGTTTGGTCTGGAAGGCCATGTTGGCACAAGAGCCATACAAACATCTGTTCCCCCAGTTGAGTTGCATGCTTACTAGAAGCCAATCCGCTTCGTTCCCAAATCTATTGATGCCAGTTGTCATTTTACCATAATGGTATAAATTAGCTAAAGATTATTTAAACCAATGAATTATGAGTGGGAAAAGAAAGTTTTTACTTCTGTGACTATGTAAAGGAATGCTTTGGAAAGGCTGTAAAGAAAGTTGCTAAAAAAAATTTCCAGTGTGTTCAGCGTGGGCAAAGCAATCATAAAAGACTGGGGTGGAAAAGTCTTCCCTGCATTCAAGGAAATTGACACTTAGTTTTTCTTTCTTTCTTTCTCTCTCTCTCTCTCTCTTTCCTCTCCTCTCCTCTCCTCTCCTCTCCCCTCCCCTCCCCTCCCCTCCCCTCTTCTCTCTCTCTCTCTCTCTCTCTCTCTCTCTCTCTCTCTCTCATCTCTCTTTATTTCTTTCTTGTAGTTTACCTTGATTTGTTTGTTTCATCGTAGGTTGATGCAGTAAATCTGGTAGCCAGGTTAGTTTCTGGTTATTGTCTTGTTTGCCACTTGGTAGCTGCCCAGAGCCCTGTGCTCCGTGAAGGAGAATGACCGCCGCAGACACAGAGAGGAGGGCCACCAACCCATGTGAGGGCAGTCACGATGCCCAGTTAGAACTGCCGACACTCTTGATGACATGGGTCAGCATCGCGGGGACAGCTGTAATAGTTTTCTGTTGCCACAAAACGGATTACCAAAAACATATCTGCTTAAAACAACACAAATGTATTATCTCATGGTTTCCTTGGGTCAGGAGTCTGGGCACAAGTTAGCTGGACCCTCAGCTCAGGGTCTTACAAGTTTGTAATTAAGTGTTGGCTCCACTACAGTTCTCATCTGCAGCTTAGGGGCCTCTTCCAAGCTCATTCAGATTATTGGCAAAATTCAGTCCCTTCTAGTTGTTAGACTAAGGTTCCCATTTTCTTGTTATACCCTGGAGGTTGTTCTCAGCTCTTATAACCCACAGATCTTTATCATATGGCCACTATACACAGTTCACACAATGCTGTTTGCTCTCTTCCAGGCCACCAAGAATACACCTCTCTGATGCTTCACCTCCCTTTAAAGGCTTTGATTCAGTCAGACCCACGGAGGACAATCTCTCTTTTAATTAACTCAAAGAGGAATGATACTAACCTAATCAGGGGAATGATATCCCATCATACTCATACTCCTAGGAAGGGAATTTTAAGGGGCATGTACTTGTGGATGCAGAAATCTTGGGAGCCGTTTTAGAATCCTGCCTATGCAACAGTCTCTGTCCACATGCTGTGGTCTCAGTGGGAAAGGTAACGCCAGAAGGATATGCAACCAGTGCCTCCTCCTGCAAACTCTGTCAAGAGAAAATCTCAGGGCAGCCATGTCTGCTCACCACTGATGTCTCAAGTGGCCTGGTTCTCTTTGTGACATTGCAGTCTGAAATTGGCTTTGACTCCTTTAGGAATTAGATGACTTCTGACCCTGGTGATTTATGTCATTTCTACCAAACACTAAGAAAATAGGTATTCGTTGATTATCTAGTAAATTTGGACACTTGATCCCACAAGTTTGCTTAATATGGCCTTAAAAGTCTCTTTCTCCTTAATTATCTGGTGGTTAAGGCAAAAGGAATTCTGTTTACTTGACTCATCAGTTATTATGACTTAAAACCCAGCAGCAACAAATATAATTATGTAATTGATTTAATACTTAAATGAATAGCTTAAGGTGACCTGCAAGTACAGTGCTTTGCCTTTTTATTAATTGTGCATTGATTCATACAGTTCTGGGTCTGAACAAGCTCAAGAGAAAAGTTGGTGAGCCTAAGATGAGTTTGGATTCTTGTACATGAGAGTCAAGGCTTCCATTTAACCCAGCCTGACCTAGAATGGAGACGGACAAAGCTTTGCTTTCAGGGCCCATCCTCCCTGCCTGTTACTACCAGTCTGATTAAATATTCTGTCTCCTGCCTGGCTGTTCTATGCAATTTGCTTTTCTTGTGAAGCCCAAATAAATGAATTAATGTTAACAACATTAATTATGTTTAATCGAAGAAGATCACATGTATTAATTGATAAAACAGCAAACACCAAAATTCTGAAATTTTAGGCCTCTTATCTGAATACTAGTCATGCGCAGTCATTATCTCTTAGGTGCAGAGTGAAATATAATTAACAATGGAATTTGTTCCATTTTGTAAGCAAATGGCTTGTGCTTTCCAGTCGGATCCTAATCGTCTTGGGAATGCTACCCAATTTGCTGTGCAGGACAGAACCTGCATTAAACTGAGGAAGCACCCCCATCC